ATTCATGTACGTGTACTAACTAAACACAACACATGCACAATTGCACATGACACATTTTTGATAAATACACTTAGGTTTGGAGTCATATATATAACTATGAATATAGCATGATCAAATTCGGATTGCGGAAAACACGACGATTCCATAGAAACAAGTTTTATGAAGAAATTCTCGGTTTGTCGAAACCCGGTTTTCGTATCTTTTGAAGAGCTTATCGGATAAGTCCGGTCCAAGGTAAGCCTCGACCATGGGACGAATAGCAGCTTGAACCACATTGGTCCTGGCTCGACCGTACGAAACCGGATCTTTCTTCCACTCCTCTTTCTTCTCATCCGAGTGTTCAACCACTTTCATGTATTCCATTTTCTCAATCTTGAAACCACTGATACGGTCAATTCCGGCAGCCACTTCCTCCGGACTTCTCATGTAAGCCGGAATGTTGAATCCGTCTCTTGTCTCTTCATCTATCAAACCCTTTTTATCCAAAGAAACTTCAAACGTTTAATCTAATATATATGGTATTGGTCAACAATATATTAATTTCAGTTAATTTATGGGAAAAATGATTAAAAAAAATATGGGTGGTGAAAATGATTGTTTTGGCGTTTTTTTTTTAGGTAAAAAAAAAATATTCTGCCAATTTAAATTAAATATTTTACATATTAAGAATAGTTGAAAAGAATTGTATATTTGACTGTTTTCAAAGTAAATTCTACAGTTTTCTATCTATACGGAATATATTAAATTGCAAGAGTAAACGTAGGCTTTTCTAGTAACATTTTTTTATTGGAAATGTAAAACGACATTTTTACTGTGAAATGAAACAAATTTTTAAAACGGCATAACAAGAGTATATACAAATTAAAAAGTTAACATTTTAGGTGAGACAATTGAAAAGAAATATAAAAAGCCAAAACTCTCATATGAACACAACATTTTAACGGTTATGTAATGAGAATCCTATGCATGTATGCAAAAAATGCAAGTACACGAGTATATATGTATATAGATTCATTTACCTCATCTAATAAATCTTGCCAAGCTTGTTCCATTGTAATTGTGAAAGGATGTTTGGCTCGAGTACCTTGGTCGCCAAATTGACTACATGAGCCCGAAGGACGACCACCCATTAACACAAACAACACTCCTCCATTCACAATTTCTTCTTTCCGACATTTCAAGAAATTTTCCAAATCATGGTCTGATTGCATATACTAATCATAAAATGTAGATTGTTTTTTAAAAAAAAATTCACTACAATGTATGCTACAAAGTTACTAAAACAATGTCAAATAGCTGTCTTTTGATTAATTTGGATGATGAACATCAATAAAATAAAACTATACTCATAACATAGTATTAGTACGTAGTGAATCCTCCACCTGAATACGGATTCTCACATGAATAAAAACATTATAATATTTATAAAAAGTTTAGACCTGAGAGAGCCAGTGTAAAGCACTAAGGCTCACAGCGACATGAATCGTTCCTCTGGGAAAAAGCCGATCATAGAACGAACCAGGGACTCCTCCAGCGAAATACTTCGCCGGAGAATCAACTCTCCGTTTCTCAGTCAACAGTTTAAACAACAAATTGAAGTCATTAGAAGGCAAGTCAGAGAAGAAAGCCTCAATCTCCGGTAAAGAACCACCACCGTACACCGCCGTGTATCGTCTACGTAACGTTTCGACCACCGTGTCGACAGTCGTGAACGTGTTGGAGCCGGCTGCGCAGCCGAGGTCGGTGATTCTGATGGGAGAGTTGGTAGAAAAGAGTTTGATGGTTTGGAGAGATGAGATAAGGATTGGTTTGCTTAAGGTTATAGCTAAAGCTTGGCGATCGGAATTGTTGACGTAGCTGACGTCATCTTCACCGCCTTGCATACTAAATACACGGTGGAGAGGA